TGGTGGTAATGGTCCATGATAATAGTAACTGAAGAAAAATAATTGGTATCAGTTGTAACTATGACCAATGTTCTAATCTTCGACATAACATGTTTTGTTACTACTATTATTCAGATTACTACTGAGGATCAGGGAGATGGTGGGAGATGGGTAGATCTGCACTTGCAAGTTTAGGGCACTAGAAGTGTTTCCAAAAACATGATCTGCTAAGCGTACAAGCCTTACATCTGTACCAAAGGCCTACTGTGGCCTACCTAAGGCAGTGAACGCCAAGTTGCAGCGGTACGAAAACCAGCTCCTGAGCTGCGGCTGGCAAATGTGGAGGCTTCTGGATGTTGCTCTGCCCGAAATGCTTCCTGACTGCCTTTACAGCCCAGCATCAGTTGCACTTTCCAACGTTCAAGGCATTAATTGAGACCATAGCCAGCCCATGCAGCTATCGGGAACAACGTGTCCAACATCTCTGCCGAACTTTCTAGGCTTGGGCTCATGTTTGTTAGTTGCTGAATACGCCACACCGCGCTCGCAGATTGATGTAGCACCCGTATTGAGTTACCTAGCGCATCTCATTCGAAAATGTGCTACGCGGCATAGGTAGTCAATGCAATGCCTGAAGTTTGCACGACACATTTGGCGGTTCGGTTTACGGACCTGCTTCCGCCGCCGATATGGCTGCTGGCACTATCGTTCCAACCTTCAGCTTTTCGGTAACCTGATGATGCTGTTTACTAATGCCAACATATGCCAAGTAGCTGTGCAAATCTCGATGGCAGCGCTCACCTAACACACGAAACGAACACGGAAACTGAGATCTGGTTCTTACTCGTCGTGGCTTTCACAACTTTCTGAAGAAAGTGGGGAACGGTCGCTTCCAGTCTCTAAGCTTGCTGACTGGGTACGGATTTTTTCTCGTAAACAGGTTGCTTGCCATGGTATGAGTCATTAATAACATTTGAATTTAGCCTAGGCTAGAGTGTCGGCTAACGTCACGCACCTTCCCTAGCCAGAGCAGACTCTTGAAGACTCAGCTTCATCCGCAAGAGGACCTTTTGAAGGCTGCAGCGCACCTCCCAATCCCTGACATCCTGGGCTGCCACGTTGGCCAGGAAAGACATCCTCGGATCCGGATATGGGGCTCTCCGGGATCTTAACTGCCATGGATCAAAGAACTCTGTAAATGCCGTTTAGGAGCACAAACAGCAAACAGAAGACGACATAGGCCGTGCCTTGGGTCGCAGTCACGAAAGGCATGTTGTGTTATTAAGAGCATATTTCGCGCCAGACAAAGGTGCCCTCCGACAGTCTTGCATCAGCTTAGTTAGGGCATCAGGGGCATGAATCTCACAGCCACGCAGCTCAGGATCCAAAGCAAGAGATCCCTCCTTCGCAGAGAAGCTGGTCACGTGCAGGCTAACAGCACGATTAACAGCACTTCAGCTCCTTTGCCATCGCCCGAGGATGCGCTGTGCCGCTCCAGGATCAGCCGGGTCGAGCTTCTTGAACTCCCGCCTGAGTTCGGTTGCAAGCAGAAGAAGCTGGCTCAGGAAAGATGGGCTTTGCTAGATGTTGTTTCCTGTTGAGTTTCTGCTGTCCTGGCATGGGCTTTGTGCACCGCGGCATCCATAGTTGGACTGGGAGACCCATCACACAGCGAAATTTGCTAATTACTTGGTCCGAATCCGGGCCATGAAAGTTCTGGTATGCGCTAACTAAGAAAATGTGTACGCGCGCCAGAATGCAAGATTCGTGTCATGGGAACAAGTGATGCGATCGCCACCTTCTACACAAGCCACATAAATTCCGGCTGAGTACCTCATGCGGAGTGCATGACTCACATTGCAACTGAGCTGCCGATGCAGCTTCGACAGCCTTGCAGACTCCAGGACTAAAGTGCCTATTGTGTTCACCATTTGAAAACAAAGCGAGTGTTGTGTGCGTGCTCCTCTGTGCATTCCCCCAAAGCTCTCACGGGATGCAACACAAGTTGCAGTGTTTTACAACGACCTCAGAGGTTCTGAGAACCCTTACGAACCCCCACGATGCTAAAACTTCAACAATATGCCACAGGTTGGGCTGTAGAGACATGCCCTGCTTCTTACTGAGGATTTGTAGGGAATAGTGAATAGGGGCATTCAATCTAACAACATCTAACCACCAGTAAGTCTTTAGTGCGGTAAGACAGTCAATACATATATCTTGCATGCTAACAAAATGGGAACGTTCTGGAGACATCACATGCATTTGAGGAACAGGATCTCCGGTATTGCGGCCAGGACGACGGTAGCCAGCGCGACAGCTGTACACTTGCCCAGAGAGTCCCAAACCTCTTTCTTGGGCGTGCCTGTGGCTGACTGGCTGCTTCATTCATCGCTACCAGGATTCCATTTTGCATATCTTAAGAGAACTTCCTGAAGAATAGACAGCACGTTGCCGAGCCCCTCGCCAACAACGATATCACAAGACAATTCCATGAGCGCTGAGTATGCGAGGGCCCTCCGCGTACTACCCCTAGCGAACTCTAGGACCCTTACGTACTCTGAAAGATCTGCAAGGGAGACGAGGTCCAATCCTGCTGCTCACTGTGAGTGACGAGGGCACAGCTGTGCGGATGACGTGTGTAGCCGAGGCGCATATCTCGCCACTGTCCGCACTGACAGCGCCACTAGTTTGCCAGAATAATGCCTGCCACAGGTGGGCCAAAGAAGCAACTCCAAGCAGCTTGGCGAGGTCTGCTTCTTCTGAAGGCACTGCTGACGGCACAGACATGTTAAGCTGCAACCCAGCACAAACAAAGGACATGCTGCGCAATCGCAAAGTAGCAACACGAAGCCCCGCAATTATTCACCTCTCGTTCTGGGACCCCCAACAGCGGGCTCTCAGCCATCTCAGGATGAGAAGTCAGAGGGTTTGCCCGCCGTAACAGCCATCGCTCCGGTGATGCGGCAAAGCAGAAGCATGGCGCTCATGGAGCAACTCATGAAGATACCTGAGATTCCAAGTTGCGTGCGTCTGCCTGCATCTACGTGACAGACAAGACACGTGAGAAGAGAATGTGCAAGTGCTCGCCAACCCTTTCAGCTTGATCCCAGCGTGAACATAATTGGCCCTGGAGTGCCGGCTTTCCGGGATCTTTCTCAAAGACGCATAATTACCGAGATAACGCGGCCATTTCCGTACTGTTCCCGTGCCAAGAGACTTTTGTGCAAGACCGTGAGCCATGGGGCCTGCGAAAGGAAAAGCACGCTGGCCGTCCTGAGTCAGCTGACATTCCCGCAGGTTGACGAGAGGCTGACTCATAGCGTTTCATCTTCAAGATATCGCAAAGCAAGAACTGAAAGTCATGAAAAGGCTCTTGCACATGAAAGAACGCGGTCTGCCCGCAGAATCCATGAGCAGCTGGTGCTGCCTGCCAGACATATGTGCGTAACTTTGGTGCGCATGAGCATGCACTAAGCAAGGATGATCTGGCAAATTCAGACACACCGGAACGAAGACTTCCTTAAGATCACAGGCTCGTGTGTGAAGCTTATAGAGAGTTTGCAGCATCAAGGACATGCTCGCAGTGGCAGTGTGACGTCTTGCGCACTACTTCAATGCTCTTCCCTTTCTGCATTAATCACGTAGATCCCTATCACAACTCAACTCAACATCGCACCAAACACTGAAGAAGATTTCAGAGACCGAGCCTCTCAAGACGCTCGCCGACCACCTGAACACTGGCTGAAACTATTATCAGATGCTGCTAGCCATTTCTGAGCATACTTTTCAATGTGTGCATGAGATTTGGACAGCGCACTTTATTACAGAACAGTTAATACTTGAAACTTCATCTCCAAACAAAATCCATCAGAATGGAGGACATGTGCCAGCCTGGTGGAGATAGCTGATCTTCTCCTCAGCGTTGGACTCCTGCCAGGTTACAAGTGTCGACGCTGTCAACAAATCCGTGGATACCCTATAATACTGTAGTAGTTTCCATTTTCTTTTCCATTATCCCAATATATAACCCCAATGTTACACCCCTATATAACCCCTGCATAACCTATGATCGTAGTTTCCATTTTCTTTTCCATAATCCCAATATAACCCCATTAAACCCCATTATAACCCCCAGAAGGAATCCCAACCCGTCGCAAAGCCCCCCGACCTCAGCGCCAGAGCCCCAGGCCGTGTTGGGCGACGGGGCCCGCGTCGAGGCCCTGCCTGGATTCTGAATTATTGCGGCTCCTGCTACTCCCTCACTCCACGGTCCTACTTCTGCAGCAACTCCTCCTACTATTGCTGCTGCTGCTGCTGCTGCTGCAAATTTTGCCACTGAGATGCACTGTCAGAAAGCTTGGCTTCAATTTTCTACAACATCAAGCTGTGAGCTCTCAGCTTGGCCATGCTTGCGACACCTCATGGCACTTGCCCAGCACTGGAAGCCAAAGGAATTACCTTGAAATTGGGTATACATTGCATGGTCAGACACTTTTAACGGCCGCCCTGCCCCCCCCCTCCCCCCCACTCTGAGAGCAAACATGCAACGTGTCTAAACTCTGCCACAACGCTTGCAGAGCCGCTCATGGATTGAGCTCGCCGCTCCTGAAGGGATTCAATATTCAATGCTCAATATGGAAACCCGAATGACAGACCATGCCGCTTTCTCATTTTCTCATTATCCCTTGATGCTGACATGCTGACGACACACGTGATGCCAGAACCCTACAACAACACGTCTATGCGGCATGTTGCCATGACGTTGTGCTTCTTTTTTGTGCTTGCTAGTTCAAGAAAAGTTGAAAAGCTGCTTCTTGTTGGGCTTGAACACAGATCACGGGGAAGAAGGAAACAGGGATGTCACCGTGGCAGTGCCCAGCTTCCAAGCCGGGAAGCTCGACGTAGCTCTTGCATAACCTCTTGCCCAAATGTGCTACTTGCACACGCGGTACAGCCCTTAGCACAGCAGACCTACCAATTTTGAGCGCAAGAATGAAGCGAACTGCATCTTGTCTGGAGTCCTCAGCCAGGAAGCGAACATCTTCTCGGCTCAGCCACAAGGAAGCGCACGCCTTGCGCTGGTACTCTCAGCTCTCAGCGTGGGGGAGGAGGATGTGGAGGAGGAGGCGGAGGAGATGGAAGTGCGGACGTGTACTCAAGGCTGACTATGGCTGACGATGACAGGATTGGAAAGCCTCTTCCCAACCTGGAAGAAGGCAGTCCAACCACCTTAGTCCTCGTTTTCCGGAACCTTTGAGAATGATGAGTCTTGAACAATCTTGGATGTCTGCTTGCTCCCACCATGGCCGAGTGGGACATGAAGCATGGTTCTAGATGGTTCCATCGTCGAGAATTTCAACATCATGTCGTCACATCGCACCTGGTACTCGAGGCTGGTGGCGAGCAGCCGTGCCAGCAGACGCCTCACGACGCCCCGCCGCGTGCCTCCTCCAGTGTGCAAGCAGCGAGACCCCTTTTTGTGCCACCCATGCCATGTCCGAGTGACAAGGCAAATCTCTGTACAGAAGCTTTGGTCAGACTGCGCAGGACTTATTGTGGAGGAGGGTGCAATGGCGACCTACACGCCAAACGTCCCAATTCGTGCCTAGACAACGAGAGGTCAGTTCTGCTATCGCCTGGTCCAACGAAGCCTAGATTCGTCAACTTGTAAAATATCAGCTTCAATCCACGAATATGATCCAGTAATTACTTGCCACGCGTAAGCGCAAATGCATACCCATCCTTCTAGGGCTTTCTGCTGCCCGTAGCATGGTGCCAGGCACACAGCCCACTGTCCTCCTGAGGGCACGAGCAGGTCGCAGAAGGTCTCCCAAGCGCAGACAATGAAGTTCCGCACGTATCCAAAGGACGACTCCAGCGTCGAGCCCAAAACGTCCAAAAAGTTCATCACCTTTGAAGACTAACGTTTCACTCCATAGACGTGTGGTTGCACAAAGTGGGCCCAGCCTGCTCCAACCCTCTCCAACACAAAAAAACTGTTATTGCACCACCCTCTCTAGCTCAAGTTCAGGCGGTCTGCTAGCGGCTAGCATTGGTATTTTTTTATTATATCCATGAGTCACTTTCCCCGTTGTCTGCTCGCTTCCTTGCCTTCCCAGGTTTCGAGCTTGTGGGTTCGATAGGCTATTTCACCAACTCTGCAACATACAGATGATAGAACAATACCAGTTGCAAGTGTGGTTGCGGGGGTCTCCCCGGATGCATTATTTACGAAAAGTGGCGGCTAGCACCTGACCTGGGATATGTATGGGTAGCATTACAGGCAGCTATTGAGAGACTTCCCGTCACCAGCGCAATTCGTCTTGTAGCAGAGTGATAGCTTGAAGCCACCGCCACACAAAACTACCACCGGTAGAGCCGCCATCAGCCACAGTTCTGAACAGGACTAGCTGACATGTGCATGTCAGAAACAACACCGAACAACTGGTTAGGGCTTCGGGTAACACGCTACAAGCTGAATGTTGCTCATTCTGTTCTTCATTTGTGTAAGGGTATAGGGAGCACTGAGATCCCTTGAATGAAGTGCCCAGGGACGGTCTCTTTGATGCTGGAGCAACATCCCGTGCTCGCGAGCTCCTTAAAGTCCTGCGCGACTCACACTTTGCCAGCTATGCATACAAGCAGTGCTCCTCACCCACTGGACTTGCAGGTATGAGGGACACCCCCATCTGACTAAGTGGAACCTCCCACCTCACTTGACAACTGCTATGCACCTCCAATGATCCCCCACAGCTGAAGCTGTTGGCTCCGGTGCCTCTTCGGCTTCGACAGCCCTTGTGCGGCCTGCGGAAGCAAGAGGGAAAGGTTTAGCCATGCTTGGCATGTGTAGGGTTCATATAGGGGCACAGTAGTAAAGCTTTGAGATTCTCGGCCTTACATTGACACGAGGAAGGGACTGTGGCCCTCCTGGGACATACCGTGACATACCGTTTGCAGTATGCTATTCACCTCGCAGTAGGTACTTTGTCAAGCAAATCTGGGTGACCTTCCTGCTGACCTCGGCTCACACAGACAATAAGCAGACTGATGATCCCAGGAATTCGTGTTGAAATCAGCTCCACGGGCTGCATTGACTGCTCAACACGGTTTTTGGGCATCTGGCTGCAAAGTCACGATGTGATTCGTCAAGTTCTGTCCACATACTGTAGGTCAAATCACACCAGCACTTGGACAGCGGTATGCGTGATGCTGGAGGCGCTGTGTTATACATGGCTGCGAGAACAACGAGCGACACATAGGCAGGCCTGCTGTGATCATGCCGGTCTTCCCGCGAGTTTTAGCGTAGACGAGCGATGCCTTCCTAGGAAGAGTGGCCGCTGGCAAAAAGCACACAACAAAAAGTGGATCGCCACCATCAAACATTCTGGGAGATGCTATCTGCTGATACATGCAAAGGCTCAAACAGTTTTCAGCAGATGGAGGATCCCAAATTATGTGCTAGGTCATCAAATGTCCAGAGCCTCCTGGTGATCTGATGCTCCCTCACGAGCTGGTCACACAAGGCGGTAGAACAGGCAATCGGCGTTCAGTCCACAACCTATTATCCGGAAGATATCTACTGCAGGCATCAGCAGCGCATCCTCTTGGCTCCAGTTGCTCAACTAAATGAACAGCAAACAAAAACATCCAATAAGTCAACGCGAGTGATGCAGCAAGTCCAAATGAGATGTGTCCGTAGTCTGGAAACCAAGAAAACTTTTCTTACGGTAGCTTACGTTTTCAAAGCCTCTGCTTACGACACGGCTTTGGTGTTGCTTTTGCTCACATCGCTTACGCCGGCTTACCTGTCACATCCCCAGCAGCAGCCACAACCACAAGAGCGAAAGAAGCAGCTTGCAACGCTTTCGGCAACAAGGTTGGCCCAAAGTTGCTTGCCGTAGCATACGAAACACAGCGCCTTGCTTCCGCCAAATCTTGTCTCTGGAAGCCCTAGTCTTATCTAAGTAAGGATCCGGTTTTGATCTCCGTTCAAATGGATTCCGGGCTCCTACAGTAGAATCCAGCCCTCTCACCAGCTTGCCACATGCCAAGGATCACCATCGTCTGATTCTGCGTCAAGAAGTTTTCGTCCGACCAGGCCCCTGCTTTCGTGGAGCTGATCATCGACGTCTCCACAAAGAATCGAATCTAGCTAACAATACGCTCCCTTGAGGTTCGTAGGAACCAAACTGACTGCTGATACTGCACCTGAACAGAAGCCATCATAAGCCCCCTCAATCCGCTGACCCTGAATTGAGCTTTGGTATTTGACAGGGTTCCAGGGAGTCGGAAAACCTGATTCTGGTATGTTCTGGTAGAAGATACCTTTGCACGCAAACCTTCCAAAGTGATCCAACCAGCCTTGTTCACGGTAGCAGCAGTCGCAGGCGCAGGCAGCCGTCATTAGAAGGGTCTGCAAAGAAAGAGCAAGCCAAAGCCTCAGGAAAGGTACAACGGCTCTGGATTTTCATTTGGAGGGTCTCCCATGACAAGCTGAGGCAGGAACAGCTTGGCCTCTGGCCGGTGATACCTCACAGCAGCTTGCACTAGGTTCCGAATCCTCTTTGCTCATGCTTCTTCCTCTTATGCACACACCCACCTCAAAAGGGGGTGGGGCAAAGCACCACTCCACCAGATAGAGGCCAGAATGGCTTTGTCATTGTCAGGCTCAGTCACAGCTTTAGGAAAACCAAAGGATGGAGTCGTAGCCAGCATGCTGGAATGAGCTCGAGTTATATTTGCCAAAGTTGGTCCCTGACTGAACTCCTTGCTAGAGAGTGGCCAGGTATCTGTAGCGATGGCTTCAAGACCTTAGCCAAGCCAACAACATCTAGCAAACTCAGAACATTCCTACACCGAAACGTGATGGCGGGAAGGGTACAGGAACATCTTAGCTGCAAATATGCATCGAGCCGACACTTCCATGCTTGTGCTCGGAAAGCTGGAAAGCATTTCGAGCCCAATCTGGTCTTGAAAGATAGCCAACTTTTCACACATAGATTGCTTGATGCGTTTGAAGACCCACGATCGCTTGATCTGATGGAACTGAGGCCAGAAGTCAGAAAGTCATGTGGGCGTGTATCAGAAATGTCTTTGGCAGATTTGGGGCTGCCCTTGTGCGGCGGCTAAAGTTATCAAGCAGACCCGCAATGCCGCAAGCAGAGTTGAAATAAACGTAGCTGGCGTCCAAACTCGTGGGCCCATCGTGCCTGTGGTTCCCAGAGGCATCTGGTCTTCAAAGAGTCAGATTGCATTATGTACGCCAAAGCATGGAGCAGCAGCTCACCCCAAAGCTCCCAAGGCATCATCTCCAAGTTCCTGAATTCACATTGATATCTTGACCAAGGTACTTGACAGTGTCAGCAGAGATGCTTGCGAACATAGTAGAGCCTCTCGAATGCTGGCCACTGCGGTTGAGTTCCCATTGTTTGGGCACAATGCTGTGGATATACTACGCAGTGCAGGCATGGCAGCTGCAACGCTTCAAGGGTCCAAGCTTGGGCGCGCAACATTTTTGTTGGGGGGTTGGTAAACAAGGAGGTTTAGAGCGCAAAGAGCATAGAGTTGCGCATGTATCGTGGCGTCTGCTAGGAGAAGAATCGCTTGCATGCACTTCAGGCGGCAGCAGCAGCAGCAGAAGCAGCAGCAGCAGCCGCCATACGCCATACATACAGCTTCACTCGCACAAGCAAAAGCAAGATCTGACGTCATCTGACTGAAACCCCAGGCTCACCTGGGCAAAGCCTTCCAGTATAGCGCCAAAAAGGGTCAGGTGATAAGTCCTCAGCTGCCCACAATGTGACGATATTACAACTTGTATTGACCGTCGTCGGAGCTTCTAAGACCTGTGACTGGTGATCTTTCGCATGAAGCGCTTAGCTTGAACGACAACCTGTTATGAGTTTGCGTTCGCACTGTCGTGGCTCTCATCAACCTTGCCTGTGACAACATTCTCCCCACTGCAGTTTTATTGCCCGCCGTCATCAGACCCCGACGAATTTGTGAACTTTGCGCGATTTGATTTTCTTCCCCCGACCACCACTAGCAACTTGGTGATTGTCGTACTTCTGCTTCAGACTCTTGGACGAAGAAATGCTTGCCTTTGCTTCTGCCGGCCAAACCCTCCTACACTGGGGCTGCCACGCACAAAGGAGTGAACCGTCGGGTTCCAGTCCCAAGGTCTGGACACCTACCGAATACAGGCCAATTTCTCAAAGTAGGCAATTTCTGAAAGCAAGGGCGCACCACTTAGTACGAAAATTGCTAAACATGGGATTCTTCTTGAAAGACTGCGAAACTGCACTCTGAAATGAACTTGGGCACTGAGATTCGAAGAAGGTCGTTGCAGGATCATGTCGCATGTCTTGATTCCCTCCACATGCCTCCTGCAGTCGGTCAGTTGAAAGACGACTTTTGCCGGGCTCATGCAGCTACTTGACGTTTAACTTGCTGATGATAGATAATGGCTGGCAGCTAGTTGCACTTAGCAACAAGAAAAATCCGTGCACGTGCTCATGTGCAGTTAGCCTTTGTTGTGCTAAGCCCTGCAAGGTGCCAACACCATCTACACTACAATCCGATGTTTCTCGACATGGGGTCACACCTCCAATACAACAAGAAGTAGGCCCCTGCATCCCTCTTCGAAGTACCCCCCAGGAGCCCATACGTTCCGTAAAGCAACTGTTTTGGATCCCGTTCAAGATCCAGAACTTTCAATTGAAGGGCACACCTCGATCCGACCACTGGCGCTTCTCTTCATCCCAGAACGCGCAAATGGCGGTCTCGCCCTGCATTGGTGGGGTTCTACACTGATCTGAAGATGGGACCTGCAAGAATTCATCAGTAGTACAGGGCTACTTCCCTCCACACCAGGAGCCTCTTTGTGTAGAGCTTACCATGTTGGACCAAGGA